AAAGTAAAGCACTTTATCAAAAATCTATTTATGTAATATTATGACATTGGAGTTATAACTATGTGGAGAACTGGAATTCCATGGATTTTGCCGATAATGCTTGGGCATCGACAAAAGCTAACCATATAGGTTCCAATTTTGAAATCACTACCTACATTTGTAAGGAGGTGAACATTATTGATATTGCCAATTATCATGTGCTGAATGTTCGTGTGAAATACTCAGGAGGAGTTGCTGCCTATTTCAATGGCAAAATAGTAGCTCGCTTTAATCTGGATGAGAATTTCTGTTCGGAGTCAATGTCACTCGCTGTTCATAATGTAAATACATTTTCTAAATTCCATGTTATCCTGAGCACTGTTGGAGGAATGAGTGGTAAAAACATCGTGGCGTTTGAAATCCATCGCCCTATTGGTCAATCATCGTCCTCTCCTGTTGTGTTTGATGCTACCGGTGTTTTTGGAGTGAATGACTGCTCGATTGTTGTTGACTCGTTTGCTAATATTGACGGATCTACTGCTAGTTCCACTAATCTTGAAGATTTCCTGGATCTGAATCCCGTAACATTTGGTTTTCAGCCCAATGAAGTTGGGAGCTATCTTTTCTGGGAAGTGGAAAACCTGGAAGGCACCAAATTCAACAGTTTTGGAATCCACGCTGCTTATTCTGTCACTGAGTTAGGATTCTCGCTCTATGTCCGAAATAATTCCACTCAAGAGTACACTTCCGCATTAGCTGTCTTGGATCAACGACTTCTCGCTTTAACTCGCAATGTTTGGGCAGTTCCTGTTGGAACTGCTGGATTCAGCCAATTTCGATATGAAGTAGATGTTCCAGCATCCGATGGTGTTTCTGTGAATTCGTATGTTCTTCAGTATTGCAAAGCAAGTGGGAATGGAACTTGTCCTGCAGATGGGAAGTATCCTTCCGTAGGAGAAGGTGAGATATCTCCTGCTGAATGTGAATATGGATATAGAGGATATTTATACCGAGTATGCACCAATGGACAACTAGGAGAAGTCAAATATGAAAAGTGTATTCAGAAAATCCCAGAAAAACTGGAATACTCCGCAGAAATCTTCAAGTTAGCATTAGGAGCAAATGTCACAATCCCATCTCCGAGTTATGTGAATATTATTGAAAGGTTCTTTTTGGAAGAAAACCAGGAACTGCCTGTGGGATTGTCACTCAATATGATAACTGGCGAAATCACTGGAATACCTTCAACTGAACTCAATTTGACAGTCTTTACTGTCTATGGAGAAAACCAATCGGGTGTAACATTCACAAAGATATATATTTCTGTCAATCAGGGAGTTTGTGAAGCAGAGGGAAGCTTTGCAACTACACGTGCAGGCGAAGTGGCTGTTTTTGATTGTGGACTCCTTGGTTCTTACGTGGGAAAGATAAAGAGAGAGTGTAAGTTGGGAAAAGCGAATGGAGAATGGCAGAAAATAACCGGATTTTGCATGCCTGTTTCTGTCATCGTTATTATCGTAGTTGTGATTGTACTCATTATTGTTGTTAATGTGGTCGTGATTGTATGTGTAACAAAGAAGAAAAACAGTGGTGTAGTATCAAGGAAGGCAGATTACTCAAGGATGCCATCTAAGGTTTTGCCTAAAGCTGTGGAAAATGTAGTTTGCAAAACTGAGCCTGTAGAAGTGTCCGGTATTGTAAAGGTTTTATAAAAGCTATCTTTCTATGTGAAACGATTCTAAGTGTTCAAGGCGTATAAATCACTTGTTTGATAAAGAAAACATCCATATCCATGTATATATATATATTTATAACATATTACAATTCATATTCCCATCATTCCGATACAATTCACAACACACAATACTCATGTCTCCCTCTCCTTCATTTCCTCACTTTTCTATATTCATGACATAGCAGTCCAATCATTATTGAAGTAAAGGACGAGGACGGCTACTAAACAACAGTTTTTCGGTGATTACTGCTTCAACGATGTATTCTCTCTGAATCGTTTCTAGAGAATCACCTGCTCCTGACTTCATTAAAACTAATCAAAAACAAAGAAGAGTAGATACTGGCAATCGGCTTATTCAGCTTTACTACAGTTCCTTCACACAGATGATTTCCAATCGTTAGTGCAGGCTTTCCCTACAAAATAAAGAGACTCGCTATCAAGTACGTTGATCCATTCGATTGTTCCCAAATTCCGAGAGTTCAGAGGTCCTCCATCAATATTATGCAACGTTCCTTGCAATTCTACGAATACCCACTATTTTTCACCTCCTCACTCTTCTCGTACTTTTTCCTTGTCACTACCAGGATAACGAATCGGAATACAAATCATTCCTGATAATACAGAATTTCTTGTGAACATGAAACAACAGCTCATAAATGCTCTAAATCTTTACAGAGTATTTGCTATATACAAATACACTACTTTTTAGAAGAAACGATCCTTCAATGCTGTATCTTGGATCGAGAAGAAATGTAAACTCTTCAATGACTATATGCGTCAGTGTGGATTAAAAGCTGCAGTGTACACACCGATTTACTCCTCAATGATAGAGTTTCTGTTTCCGGCGGTATTGATTCGGCGGTAACACTTGGATTGATGAAACATGCCATGGAAATGGAGGATTCCCCCATTCAGCGCATCCTTGGCATTTCGCAGCCAATTCACAGCTCTACATGGGCATACAACCGAGCCATGGAGTGTGGAAAAGCGCTAGGCGTGGATATCATCGTCGTGGATCAGACTTCCGTCTTCGATTCCCTTGTTCCTCTCTTCTTCTCCCCTTTTCATTCCTAGAAAACCCTCGTCGACACCGCAACAGGAATCATCGGAAACGATTTCTCCTCCGGACAGCTTCGCTCCTACATGGCATCCTCTTCCCCTCCTCACCTCATCCCTAGCGCACGCCCGTGGGCTACTACGTGTCCCAGCTGCTCAGCCAGTCGGGTACTCCCTGCGTGGTGATGGGCACGGGCAACCGCGACGAGGACGGCTATCTGGGCTACTTCTGCAAGGCGGGCGACGGCGTCGTCGACGTTCAGCTCATCGCCGATCTCCACAAGAGCGAAGTCTTCGCGGTGGGCAGAGCGCTGGGCGTGCCGGCCAGCATTCTGGAGTCTCCGCCTTCGGCAGATCTGTGGGAGGGACAGACGGACGAAGAGGAGCTGGGAGTGTCGTACGATTTCGTGGAATTGTTCACGGGGTGGTTCTTGCCGCTAGGAGAGGAGGAGAGGAGGAGATTTGTGGAGGGGCTGGAGGAGGAGAGTCGGGAGGAGTGGGAGAGATGCAGAGCGATCTGTGAGAATGTACATCGAAGGAATAGTCACAAGTTGAACGGTCCCAAGAATTTGAATGTGCTGTGATGTGGTTCATGAGTGTTTGTGATGTTTGAGACAACAAGGAATCAACAGGAAATGCTGGTTTTTCCTTCATTGCCATAATGTCCATTCAAATTCAGCCTACAAATCCACACACAACGCATCAATCCAATGCAAACGCACAACGCATCGCACTCCATTCACCCCAAACAAACACACACGATCAACCCCTCATCCACTTCCCATCGAATGTATCAAACAAACAAACCACTTAGAACCAGAGTTGGAGATTACGATAATGAGAATGATAATCTACAGTTCACGCCTCTATTCGCCCATACAATGATAATAGCGGCGATAATTCCGTACAGCTTCAGCTTCTGCTTCAGCATTTCGCACTTCAATTTCTGCGCATCCGAGCGGAACAACTACTCCTCACGCCTTCCTTCCTCCTCTACGTCGGCTGTATCCGCCAGAGCATCGGTCTTGTCCACGATAATGTCCAGCTTCTCACCACGATCGATGATCTTGTCTGCGCATCATCACCTCTCCAGCGCCCTCCTACCGATGTTGTCGATCATTACGCCCTTCACTGCATCCAGTTTCTGCTGCACGCGCGTCGCAGCGTCGGCGTTGGGGTCGTTCCACTTCTTCTGCACATTACACACTCATCGTAGCCGCACCATCAGCTGGGCGATCGTAGAGGAGAAATCCGACATAGCAAACGCCTGAGCGGTCTTAGCACGGTCTCTAAGAGTTGGAAACGCGTAATCGAGCCTACCCATAAGTGGCAGTGAAATTCTCAGCCATTTCAGTCAGGAAATTCTAGAAGTGATTATCGCTATACCAAAATGCATACAAAAACGATTCGCAACGGCATATCTCTGTCTGTCATGGCAACATACGCAATTCCTCTCTGGTTGAGTACAGAGAAATCGTATCGGCTAAGCCTGATGCATTTTGAATACACTTTACCTATCATAGTGGAAGTTTTGTTTCTGTTGAGCAGGGAACTTCGTAAGAAGACTCTGCGTGATCTGAGCAAAGTTACCGGTTGATTTCTTATCAGCGGTACCTAAAGTTTCCTCGCAAAGAACCACATCTCTAGGACTTCAATTCCTTGCATTTTCACTACTTTCTGCTGATCGTGGCATAAATAATGGACTTCTGAGTAGACATTCCTGGTGTTAAAACAGAATTAGAAAAAGAGATTAGATGGATTATAGGCAAAAGTGACCGATAACCGCGATTCCTGCAGCATTTCAGATTTCCGCACAAAGTACAGGAGATTTGGCTGATTGGTGAATATCAGTATGAAGTAGATAAATATGAGCAACAGAGGAGTGTATCGTTTTGTCAAAATAATGCCTAGTTGTTCTGATGTTCTTATTTGCCTTTTCAAGGATCTTCCTTTTCCTGTTATTTTTTGTTCATTCTTCATAAGAACCCATTTCTTCCTCTTATCCATCCATTTGCTCATAAATAACGCAAATATCAGAGAGAAATGCATTCTATTTCTGTATTCTTTGTATTCACGGTTATTTTACATTATTACCCAGAGTACAACTTTGATGAAATAGTCAAATCTGCTTTATATTACATTGAATACTCTTTTGCTAACATACAAACACTAATTTTACATACTTTTGAAAATAATACTTCAACTTAAAAGAAAGTGTTTTTGGCTTCAGATGGAAAAGACGAGCTTCATGATTGGATATCTCCAGTCAATGATTTTCCTGTACATTCCTTCGCTTTTACTTCTGATTCTTCATTCTCTGATTCTTTGTTTTCTCGTTGTTCCCATGATACAGACTCTGTCTACTCTACGGATGTGTCTATTTGCTTTTCTTCTCCGAGTGTTGTATCTGATTCACTTTCTGAAACTGATTTCACAAAGGAGAATACTTGTTCGTGCGACGAAGGGGATCCAATTCCTAACATCGCCTTGCCGCCATTACCTATCAGTGGCTTGGTTCATTCCGAACAATTAGTGTCACGTCCTTTGGACGGATCTTCTTCAGACCTCGATTCTGAACCTAAACCGTTAAATACCAGTATTACTCATTATTCTGATCAAGAACGCTTACTGTGTAAGCAGAGGTATGCATTGTAGTTCATTTTTGAATTGTAGACGCCTTTATCGTAAGCAAATTCTAAAGAAAAAGCGTGAGCTAGGGTTGATTAACATAGCGAATAGTAAAGTGATTCGTTACAAGCAGAAGCAGACGACTGCGATGCAAAAGAATCGCTGCAACGGAAAATTCGCTAGTGTTTTGTGGTCTGTTTGTAAGAAACACTCGAGTTGTGTGAAATGCTCATTCCTTCGTTGTGAAGGCTCACTTCGGACACATGATAATCCCACTTCTGCCAAACAGCTTCAATCACTTCTCTTCGGCATCTCTCAGCATTGCATACACAATAGAAGGAATCGGCTCCACCAGCTCCAGCCACCATGCAACCCATCACCCAATCGATCTTAGCCGTTTCTTTCATCAATTCGTACACGTTTTCTGGAACCAAGCTCGTTTCAGAAGCAACTCCGATCGCGTGAACCGTCTCCAACTGATGTCGAAATGCTTCCTTCAATCGATTCTCATCGATTTCTTCTGTCAGCAGGGTGATCAATGCTTCATTTCCCTGACGATAATCCTCCCATAATCGCTTTTCGTCCGATGAACTCTGCTTTCTCCATTCTCCAATTTGCTTGACGAGGTGAGGAGTACTCGATGAAGCCGATCCTCCATAACTGAACAACACTGTGAGTGAATCGGGAAAGCGAAAAGGCTCAAATCTGCATTGGAATGGCATGGAAAGGCATCGCTGATATACGCAACTACCGAACACACCTGTGATTATATCGTAGCCTGAGCCAATTCGCCCCTGCGCTTGATGATGAGCCTGAAGACTCAATTTACAAACGAGTTCTCTGTCAGAATAAGAAAGGGTTTCTCTATTTTCGAAAAGGCAATAAATGCAAACGAGCAAACACCGAAAGAGAATAAAAGGGAGGCTATGGTGGCGATCACTGTCGTGGATGATGAACCGAATCCTGTCTTTGTTTGCTTTCCATCTTTCATAAAGTAAAAGCCTCCCTCGTTTTTCAGAGTAAGCGAGATATCTTGGAGTTGCGAAGGAAGACCGAATTGATGAAGTACACATCGAAGCGATTCTAACAGAAAGGGATTGTCTCTAGATGAAATAATAAGGTCGATAAAACTTTGAGCACTGGATCTGCAGGTCTTTGCTAACATAATAAATCCATTCGTCATGTAAATCGGGACTTGTCACAGTAAGGCGTAACCCTTTGGAAGCATAGCATTTGGTTTGAACATATCCCGATGTGTGAGCACTTACCGCTATGCTCAATCCACGATTCGACTCGTCCAGAATAAGATAACCTCCAGAAAGTAAACTCTTCCCTGGAACACTAATGGAATATGTAGATGATGCAGGGCTATTCTCACACAATCCATTAGATATGACTTCTCTTATCTCTTTTACAAAATCACTCTCTAGCAAATGAATTTACAAATTGAATGTAGTACTATCATTGTTCTGTGATTTAATACATATTTCACTATCCATTTCCTTGTTTGTAACAGATCGACTCTATTAACTAATTTCAAGTTTGTTTTTGTGTACATTCCAATCCAATAAAGTATTAATATATAAATTATACAGAATAATTCAAGTCTGACAGAATAGTATGTTTTTCTATTCCTATACAGTTTCCAATTCGATCCATAGCTCTTCAACCCATTTTCAATCATTACTGCACGCAGAACCCCAATCAAGTGCCTTTTCATGGTAAACCATTGCTATTTATTCATTCCGTCTCATCCTATTCCCCTTTCCAATTCATGCTCATTGAGCCATACCTTCACTATTTTTTCTACAAATGCTTTCTGCTTCACGACTCGCCTGCTTTAGTGCCAGACTGGGATTCTCTACGATCCGAGGATTTGCTTCTCGCGCTGAAAACCCTCAAGTGTTCATGGACTTTTCCGCTGGAGGAAAGGACGTGGGTCGAATTGTTTTCGAGGTAGGAAACGATTGAAATATTGCGCTAATGCAATAGCTCCGTGCTGACGTAGTTCCCAAAACTGCGGAGAATTTCCGTTGCTTGTGCACCGGAGAAAAGGGAAAGGGCAAGATGGGAAAGCCTCTGCACTACAAGGGCTGCACACTGCATCGTATCATTCCCCAGTTTATGTGCCAGGTACTTTCCTTCTCTCTTTGTAGCGAATCCTAGGGAGGCGATTTCACTCACGGAAACGGCCGTGGAGGTGAGTCGATCTACGGCGAACGCTTCGCCGACGAGAACTTCACGCTGAAGCACACAGGTCCTGGATTGCTCTCCATGGCGAATTGTGGTCCGAATACGAACGGATCGCAGTTCTTTATCACAACCGTGCCTTGCCCGTGGCTGGATGGACACCACGTGGTGTTTGGAGAGGTGAAGAAGGGAATGAATGTACTGAAGGCTTTGGAAATGTACGGAACGGAGAGCGGAATGCCGATGTATGGGTGGCTTGGATGGAGTGAGTTTGTAGGAAGACGATTGCTATTACGGATTGTGGTGAACTCAAAGAGAAGATTTTGATTGTTTGTTTTATACGATTTGGTGGCGTAGGACGTACAAGCTTCCTGGGAATTGTTTTGAGGGTTCAGGTTGATCAATTCCATCATACAGATAATCTGCATGCGTAATGAAAATCGAATTTTCGATATTCATTAGCCGATTCCCGCGATAATCCCCAATGTATCAGATTATTTCCAATTCTTATTGTGACATGAGCGCTTATATTGATACGGAGAATATTGATATGCAAAAGTTTGCCTTTGAACAAATTCAGGGTCTTGACCTCCCAGTTTGGAAAGATGTGAAATCAGTCGATGAAATCAAGATCGATAGAGTCAGTGGTAGACAGCAAATCAAGATACATGACAACTAGGAGCAATGACGAACATTATTTTCAAGGTCGTTGTAGTTGATAAACCCTGCGAGCCCTTGCTGCTCCGTGCCTATGGAAACTGTACGAGATAATAGAATCCAATTATCTACAGGCACGGACATTTTTATGAATCGCGAGGCAGAGATTAACTATTTCAAGATATTAAGCGACAACAATTTTGGTGTTCGTCTGATCAAGGTGTTCCCCGGTGGTCGTCTTGAGGCGTGGAGAGAAGGTTACAATGTAAGTGTGCTTTCTGTTCCCTGATGCGCAGCCGCTCTTAGCGCCTGAAATGCGATCGGAAGCCATTTCGATGCAGATCGCCAAGACCCTTGCAGTAATGCACAACATCAAGGTACAATCTCCTGCTTTCCCTCATCGCAGCTAGAGAGCTACGGCCTGGAAGAATACCGCCAGCACTTTGCATGGTGGTACGACAGTGTGAAAAAGCACTGTACCCGTTTTTGTCGGGATTCACTCGCAGGCACCGGCGATCGCTTCAAAAACGTTCGATTCGACTTGATTCCGCAGGAGATCGACAGCATGTTCGCTCTGGCGGAGGAGGAGGAGTTCGAAGTGGTGCTTGGACATCACGATTTGCAGCACGGAAACATTCTGCACAACGCCGAAGGCGATATGATCTTCGTGGACTTCGAGTCTTTCTCTCGGCTCTTTTTCGATGCGTAGATACACAGGGAAAATCCCAGTGGCTGCGGACATCGCGAACCATTTCTGCGAGTGGATGACGGACTACAATCTGCCCGATTCGCACATTCTGCGGCTCGAATGGCATCCGAACGCGAAGCAGCAGCACGATTTCGTGAAGACCTATCTCCAGGCGCGGTTTGGGAAGGAGCCCAGCGAGGAGGAGGTGGAGAAGATGTGTGTGCAGGTGCACAAGCATGAGCTGTTCTCGAATATGCATTGGTTCCTGTGGGGATTGCTGCAGTGCCCGATTAGCACGATTGACTGGGACTACTGGGGCTATGCGCTGAATCGATGGGAGCATTATGTGCGTGTGAAGAAGGAGTTTGGAAGAGAAGCTTTGCCCATTATGAGCGAGTAAGCTGGTTGAAGAAGCAATAGTTGTTCTGTGTAGTTTGGTTGTTTGTTGGAATAAACAGAGGAGAGTACAGGCAGATGTGAATAGGGAGGATGGAGATAGAGGATCCTAAAAAACAAGCATTCTTCTTGAGGAATCTGTATTACTCAGACTTTGCATGGACCACTCTATAGTACTGCCTTCCTTCCTTCTTTTTGGTTTCTTTTTTCTCCTAACGCTGAAAAAGAAAAGTCAAATCCTACTTCTTGCTCTGCCCTGAGTAGGGAATGCGCAATATTGCAATTTATCAGCATGATGATCGTTACCACGATTAATAAAATCGGACCTGTAATGTGATAGTTGAGAAAGCACCAGAAAACGATGCGTTCCATCATATTATATTTATCCCACTCAATGGCGGTAGCATCCAGTTCAGCCATAGCGTACAAATGAAAAGAATGTGAATAACCAAAAAATGGAATTGTAAATATCGAGACAAACTCGGCGAAAAACGGTCAACTCAGAAAGCAGATCAAACAATACAATAATGGATTCAATTATCAAAGAAGTGAATTTGGCTTATGATGTGCTCGAAAAGGAGAATGTCAATCAAATCGACGCTGCTTTATTTGCAGAGGAGCATATCCACAGTGTGATCGATCTATTTTCGAATAAGGATTTGACGGAAGCATTGCAATTGCTTGTATTACTTGTGTTTGATGATTCTATTGTAGCATCAAGAGTTTTTCTCTGCCATCCAAACAGAGGATTGTATTGATGATATGTATTCGATTCTAAGTGGAAGTGATGTGGGTTTTCAAGTAGCTTGACTTAGGGATAGATATCTGAGGAGGATTTGTATATAAATAAGGACAGAGTGGCAGAATTGGAGAAGGCGATTCAAAAGGAAGTGGCGAATGGAGGCAAGTCGTTTATTTTGCAGTAGATCTCGCTTATTTGTCAGTGATCTTTTACTAGATTCGGACCTAAAGGAAATCATCAAAAGGATGTAGTGAAGGTATTCATATTGGGTTCCTCACAAGCGTAGATCGTTGCTTCTCGCCTCTCCTACCCCTGCATGGTGATCCACCGCGAAGACTTCATTGCTCGCTTTGCTGTGCATTCCTATAGCACATTGTGATAGCTAGAAAGAATGCGAATCTCGCGTTCGCAATGCGTTTGCCAAGTGCCAATCGCTGCAATCGAGAGTGAAAAGCCCCGTGATTTTGTACATCGAAGACATCGACGGGTAGTCTTCCTTGTTCGCTTCGATCCCAGCATGCTTCCCAACGCCCACGCGAGTCCGGTGGAGCAAATGAAGCGCAAACTGGTCGAGAAAGCGCTCTGCGAGCAATTGAATCAGCTCAGCCAACGCGCTGAAAGCAGCAGCGAATCGTATCCGTAGAATGAAAACCAATTCAATGAGTCGCAGAATCATCGTCGTGATCGATTCCGAGTTTCCATCCACCCTCAAAAACGAACTGCACAGCCTGCAAAGCGAGCAGATTCTCTACCGCGTTCCCGGTATTTCTCTTTCTTTATTCTCCCCATTCACACCGCAGACGAAGCCCAACGCCGTTGTTATCTCGAGCATTTGCTCTCCATCTACGACAACGCGCTCTCCGAATACGCCATCAACCGCTTGTTGATCCACTCCTCCGCGTTCTCCCTCACGCAGCTCCGCTTATTATTCGACCACGCCTTCTTCTGCATGCTGCTCTGCAAGGACAACGCGATCTCCGTCGATTCCTTCGACCTCGCCTCCGTCTCCAAGGCGTCGATGTACCAAACGCTCAGTCGCTACATTCAGGACCGAATGAACGGCGCGAAGTTCGCTTGCATCGCCGATTCCACGCTCTAGACCCGTCGTTCCCAGCATTCCCGACTCCGTTCTCCTCGCCCTGCTCGACAAAGAAAAACCCTCCTTTTCGGTCGTCGATGTTTCCCGCGATATCGATTTCTGCAAAGCCGTTTCGCGCCCTGACGACGAAATCGAGCTCCTCAACGCCATGACGAAGCTCCTCCGCGAACGAGACGATCAGATTCGAAAGCGAGACGCGGAGAATTCAGCCTCCGCTTCGCGCGATCCCATCGAGCGTCGCTCGGGCGAACCGTACCAAATGCCGCTTCCCTCGTCCCACCCGACCAATGAAACATCGAGCCAGAGCGCGGAGGCATCGAAGCCGGCGCAGCACGGATTGAGTTCTCCGAAATTCGGGCAGATTTGGATGGCGGAGACGATGAACACGAGCGCAGAGCGCTATCGACAGGAGTTGGAGGCGCAGAATCGCGCGGAATCGGAGCGATTGAAGGAGGCGGAGAAGCGAAACAGGGAGGAGAGAGAGCGATTGCATCGGGAGGAAGAGGCGCGGCGACGGCAGGACGAAGAGCGTCGCAAGGCGGAGTTCGAAGCGCAGAAGCGGAAGGAGGAGGAGCGGCAGCGGCGGATCGAAGAGCGAATCGCGGCGGAGCAGGCGGAACGCGAGCGAAAACTGGAAGAGCAGCGACGCAAGCGCGAGGAGGCGGAGCGGAAACGCCGCGAAGAAATCGAGCGGCAGGAGGAGGAGCGAAGAAGGCAGGAGATGGAGGAAATGGAGCGGCGCGAAGCGGAGAGACAGGCGTTGGCGGAGAAGCGGCGGCAGAAAATGCAGGACGAAATCGATCGGAAAGAGCGGGAGAATCGGCGTGAAGCGGAAGAGCAGATGAAGCGATACGAGGAAGAGCGGAAGCGGATTTATGAAGCGTCGATGGGGTTCGATCGAAGCGCGTACAACGAATCGACGTCGCGATTGGAGAGCAAATTGTCGGCGGAGAAGAAGGCGATGCTGGAAGACCAGCGGAAGCGCGAAGCGGCGGTGAAGAAGGCGAGGCAGCAAGCGATGGAGCGACTGAATCAGGAGAAGCTGCAGAGGAAAATGGAGCAGGACACGTATCGGAGATTGGCGGAGCTGCGGCGACCGGCGCCGAAAACGAAGGAGGAGAGAGATGAGCGGATTGGGAAGGCGAAGGAAACGATTGGAGACGGGAAGAAGCGACTGGAAGCGTTGATGCGGATGAAGGAGGAAGTGAAGCGATTGATTGAGGAGAAGAAGAGGAAGGAGGAGGAGGAGAGGAAGAAGAGAGAAGAGGAGGAGAGAAAGCGGAGAGAAGAGGAGGAGAGGAGAAGAAGAGAGGAGGAAGAAAGGCTGCGAGAGAAGAGAAGAGCGGAGGAAGAGGAATTGCGGAAGCAGAGAGCGATCGAAGAGGAGAGGAAGCGGAAAGAGGCGGAGGCGCGACGAGCGGAGTTTGAGAAGGAGAAGGAAGAGCGGAGGAAGATGAAGCAGGCCAAAGCGAAGGCGATGGAGGAGCGATTGGAGAAGGACGAGCTGCGATTGCTGGATTGTCGAGAGAAGCTGCTGGCGTTGAGGAAGTTGATGAATGAAGTAAAGCGAAGTCAGGGATGAGTGAATGAGTGAGTGAGTGAATAAATCATTGAATGAATGAGTGAATCAAGGAAATCTGTTTGCTACAAACATTCCAAATGGTACAAAGAGAAGATCGGATCGCCGTATGGACCGATTCATCGGGTTTGCTCTCACTTTCAATCACCAATCGATTCCCATCTTGATAGACACAAATTCGCTTCGACGAAATCACAAACTTCAAGCCCTCCATATAAACATCCGCAGCACACTTTCATCTCACGGAATGGTCCTAACTAATACATGATATGTTATCCGCCTTCATAGGCCATTACTATGCATTGAATAACCAACACCACGATTGTAATCCTAAAGTATCATCTTCCAGTTTCATTTCCACGACATCCCCGCACGTTTCCAACAAACAAACCAAACAAATAGATACTAATCCATAAAAACGTTCCCATCACTTAAGGAGCGGCCGTCGGCGTGACCGAGGGCATAAATGTAGGACTAAGAGTGGGAGGGATCGTTGGATCCACCGAAGGAGCTACAAGCTTCTTAACCTCCAGAGCAGTCATGAAGACCGCCATAACAATTCCGATATAGAACAGGAACCAAGCAAAATAGATGGCTCCGGTCTTGATATCGTACTGGCTTCGCTTCGTGGACTTCGCGCGCGCCTTCTCGCGCTTCGCGACGTGGATGTAGAAGAACGCCGGCCAGACGAAGACCAGCGCGACGCCGCAGAGCGATCCGGTGAGGGAGAAGATCACACGGAGCTGGGGAATGATCATAGCGACGACGTAGGTGAGAATCGACCAGATGAAGGCTTGGAGAACGCGACGAGTGGCCGGACGCGGCTGCTTGAAGAGAGTCTTGTCGATGCTGACGAGGGGAGAGAAGGCGAGGACGGGGTAGGAGAAGAGAGCGACGAAGGAGTAGGCGAGCTTGACGATGTTCATGTACCAAGTGTTGTTGGTGCCGAAGTTGGTGAGAAGATTGTCTTCGGTATTGGGGCCATAAGCGAGATAGCCGCAGAGTCCCACCAGATAGTAGATCAGCGAGCACGCCACGAAGGCGACGTTGTTCGCACGGTCCATTTTCTTGACGCGGGAGGAGAACTTGGACGCTTTGGGAAGCTTCAGCTCGGCGGTCATCTTCGGAATGTTGACGTGGGAGGCCAGACAGGTGAAGAAGACCGAGACGGCGGTAGAGAAGGCACCGATCGTCTGCGGGAACCAATTGTACTCCAGCGGCTGAATGATGACTTGGCGCACGCCAACGATGATGGAGATCACCACAAAGAGAACGATACACACGATGGCAATGGAGGAGGTCCACCTCAAGGCATCAATCGTAGGAAGACTCAGCATGGGGAACAAGAGAAGCACGGTCTCCAAAAGGTAAATCCACTACAACTAAGAAAATAGATAAGAAAGAATACCCAGTTATGGCTGTCAAGAGTATTCTCATCAATATGGAAAACGTTATGAACCAGGTCTGTCGTCTGACTGAATACGATGTTGCAGTAACCAACACAAATACCAAAGTCAAACAAGATCATGAAAAAGTCGGCGAAGTATCCCGTACCCTTGTTTACAAGTTTTCTTCCAATGAATCCATAGGAATCCTCATTAGTGTAGGCAGAAGCAACAACGAGATAATGAGCACCGAATAATGAAAGCGCAAGAGAAAGAATGAGCAACAATCCAGCACCAACAATTCCTCCATCCATAATCGTACAAGGAAGTGATAAGGTTCCTGCACCCACAATGGTGTTCATCATATTAATAATGGATGAACCGAGAGAGGCTCCAGTACTATTATAAACTTCAGCTCCCATAGACATCTCCTTTTCGCCGATTTCGATCACTTTCGTCTCCTCAGCCCCGTTAATAGAAGCCTTGGTCTCTTCTCCTTTCTCATTGGTCAGAGTAGGATCAAGAGGCTTAGTTTCCGCTACTGGCTTAGGAGCGGCTGTGCTGTTATCATTAGCGCCAGGCTGGGTGTTGGATGTCTCCATTTTAGAAATACCAGTGACTAATAAATTGGAAAATGTTCGAAAAACGTGGAATTTTTGGTTCTGTAACGCCTATTCATTTCCACGTTTCAAAGTAGAACACAGACACACAAGTGTTTCCTATTCTATAGCAGTTTGGTGAATAGTCAATCCTTAGAAAATAAATAGTTTTATCGTCAAACGGTGTTTGTTGGTACGTACTTGGTTTCTTTGCTTTTCTATATTTGAATATCATTATTCTGTTTTATAGTGTGTTTATCACTTTCAGCATTCAATGATAATATCAAAGCATTGTTATTGAAATACTTAGCCAATTCTTTAGAAATAGGATTGGAAGATAATTAAATTACGTATCTTCTGCATTACGCAGTTCAGAAAAAACATAAAACAAAGGGAATATACAATGGGTGAGTGATAAACTGCTAATTATGTTAAAGGATTTCCCATGAATGCTAGCAATTATAGATTGTGGTTTTACGGGTATGATGTAACAAAATAAGAATTCACCTCTTTTTGGTAATTAATAATCAGCGCAATTTATTCACTTAATTGTCGTATCGATCATCGCGAAAGTCTTAATTACATTTACAGAATTGACACAAGGAAGGAAAAAAGTATTAATATTATATTCCCTTAACGACTAAAACATAAAGAGAATGTAATCACTAAAAGATGAGCAAGATTCACTGGTATGAGTCCTCACCAAGAGTGCCTGAATTATTCAACTGCTGGTTAATCAGTAAATGTAACTTACAACTAAATTGTGCTACAACTGTCGTAAAAAAAAACTCAAAAGAAAGAAACGATATTACACTCATTGAGAGCACATACAAGGTGATAAACATGTAGTTTTCGGTAGTTTAGTATGTGGATGCTTGCATCAACGGTATTTCCCAGAGTAACAGTATTCGATTATTAGAGTGAGTAATATTATTAATGTGATGCAACAACACTTTGAAATTCAATATGTATTTTCAATCATCAAATGCATTATGAAAGAATAGATTATCATCAAAGAATTATATTCTGATTTAAATACGAACATTTTAAGATATATGAGAAAGTGTAGAATCATTCAAGTGAGTATTTTTGAATAGATATGACAAAAAAATAGAATGATTGAAAATGAATTGGTCATATGAACAATAACAAGATATTCAAATGCATTGAACCTATCAATTGAATCATGTCTTTTACGGAATATCACCATTTGATTTAGACAAGAGAAGTGAGAATAGGAGAGACATCTATGTAGTGATCATTATAGTGAAATTCAACTTGATATTGATTTGGAACGCACATTAGTAAATGAATTGGGTAGATTAACATTACGATAATTGGGAATATCTAAATCAAATCATTTATCGGTAAATCTACATACTTTCTAATACTACAACACGAACATTTTTGAAGCTTCCATATTCAGATGTTGTAGATGCAAGATTTGGAAGATCTAACACATCAGTTAAGATTCCATTCTTCAAACTTCGTATTGTCAATGAACTACACGGAGCATTTATGCCAACGCAGGATCATACATCTAGTTCAATTGACTGTAATGATGGGAGATCTACTCAAATGGACCCAATCCTCTATATTCATTACTTTCAATCACCGTTGATAAGGAAGCACAAAACCCATACGTGATTCTATTAGTTCTTAAACTTGAAAGATCTACGATGATATTTCACAATAAATAATAACCTCTAATTACAAATGAACTAAAACAAAAATGACCTGATGGAGTAGTATGTAAACCAAAATCCAGGAGTTGTAATGCAGGAAGGTTTCTCAATTCAAAATTCCCACCATAATCAAAGAAACTGAATTGACCGATTTCTATTGATTCCAATGACTTGCAGTTCAATATACGGAATGTTCGATAGTAATTACAAGCATCTTTTATGGCCTTTTTAGAATCACTTTCATAATCAAATGAATCAACATATGTAAACGAATTCTTACCAAATTTAACATGTTTCAATTCATTCAATCCTATAATTTCAAATGTTACTGCTTTAAGGAAGCAACAATCTCCAATTTTCAAGTATTGCAAAGATTTCAAATTCGAAATGGAAAAGACTTGATATAACATGAATGCACTATTCCCTATTATGATGGATTATAGATTTGGAAAATCTATGCGTTCTTGATTATGTTTTCAGTTATTCTTGTTTCTTTAGCTCATTGAGTATCACAAACAATTGCGAAAATAACAAGAAGAATTGACAGCCTTTCTGGATTCGCTTAGTGAGCGTGATCCCGAAACAATTCGCAAGTTGAGTAATGTGTTTTAAAATTGGATTGATAAACAGAGGATAATGTGAATCAAGCGATCGATGGTGCGAATCGTTGGACAGGTAGGTGTCATTGTGCCGATTCTCAGTTTGCTAGACAACATCTACAGCGTGAAGAGCTTTTTGGTTCGGAAGCAAGGTATGGGAAGCAAGGAAGTGGACCAAGCTTTGGAGATAACCGAAGACTTCGACTCTCTCGAATACCCTGCTTGTCTTCGCAACTAATCCTCGCTGCAATTGGATCTCTTTGCTCCTCATTGATTCATTGATTCATTGATTCATTGATTCATTGATTCATTAGCTGTTTATTCAACAAACAACGCAGACTACAAACACTTAGAACTCCATCGATGCTCCCAGCTTGCCGCACTGGCACTCGCAGCGCGCGCTGCTTCGCCGGCATCTGCACACTCCCGCGTTCGCGGACAGCGCGGCCAGATAGGCAGGTCCGCACGGGCTTTCCACACGTCGCGTGAACGTCACATCGCTCGGCAGCGCGCGCTGCATATCGTCCTGCACCGCTTCGCCGCGCAGCGTGATCGTCAAGACCGCCTTCGCCGCCTCGCTCGGCACCGTATACTCAAACCGAATCACATGACCCTCCGACGAAACCGTCGCGCCCGCCGCCAATCCAGGCAGCTCCACGCCGTCGCTGGCAAACCGCAGAGCGTCCTGCGAGACGATCGTCACGGCCTCGTCGAACGTCAGCGCGAACTGGTACGTCTCTCCCGCGAACAGCGTCTGCGCGGGCTCCGCTCGAAGCAGCGAGGGCGCGGGGATCTCTAGCGTTCACTCCTCGCCGGACGCCTCCTACCCGACGCTGCCTGCACTTCGGCCTCCAGCTCCACGCCGCACCCCACGAACTGCGCCGTGTACGAAGCGCCCAGCTGCAGCTCCGACCGCACCACGAAGGCCAGCGTGTCGTTGCTGACCAGCAGATCGTCCACGCCGTAGTCCTCCTCCGCCAGACGCACCGCGCACCCCACCGGCAGACCCACGCGACCGTCGCACGCGAACCGAACCACGCCGTGGGAGCGAGCCACGATCGGCGTCGCCAGCACGCAGCTCGCCAGCGCGCTGTCTGCGATGGACCCACGCAAACGCCCCTACCTCCGCTCATCTCCCACGCGTCTTGGCGAGACAGACGGAACTCCTCGCTCGCCGCGCCGCTCTCCGCCGAGCGCACGGCGCCTGCGGGCACCCGAAGGACCACCGCGCCCGCGGGCAGCGAAGGGAGACGGAAGCACGCGACGAGGCCCTCGACCCAGAGGAGCGAAACCGACTGATCCGGAGAGGCTGCGTGGAAGGGAAAGGCCAAAACCCACACGAACCGACGAACACTTCGCCGCTCCCCTGAACGACGGGAGCGTCGAACGTCAGCGTTACCAGGTCGTTCGCGCGCACCTCCGACGAGGCCGAAGGCGTCACAAAACTCACGCGCGGAGGCACTTCTACTAGAGCTGAGGAATCGGAGAAACGGGGAACCGGGAGAGGCCAGAGTGTCGAAGAAGACCACTTCGCCCATCTCTTCCAAACGACGCGGACGACCATGCATTTCGCGATACAGCTGCCGAATCAAGCGAGGATTCATCCCCAGAGAAAGATCATCGCTCGCTCCAACGCCCATTTCTTGGAGCATTTCTTGGTGCATCATTCCTTGATTCATCATTCCTCGATGCATCATTCCTCGATGCATCATTCCTCGATGCATCATTCCTCGATGCATCATTCCTCGATGCATCATTCCTCGATGCATCATTCCTCGATGCATCATTCCATGTCGCATTCCAAAGCCCATTCTATTCTTCACTCTCCTTCTCTCCTTTCCTACCCCATTTCGCGGTACAACTCATGTTCCATCATGCACTGCAGTCGATACCCGCTTCCCCGATGCAGGTTCTCCGTTACCACCGTCACTTCCTCCCCCGGGTTCTTTATCTACCCATCACGCTCCCTCCCTTCCGCCACATGAAACCGCTTCGCCAGCCGCGCGAACGCCGCGAGCGACGGCCGTCCAAACCGTCTCCGCTGCGGCAGACACAGCGCATCGCCGGGCGTGTCGCTCTTCACTCGGATCCGCGCGAACGTCGCGAACGGCTCCACGTCCGTGATCGTCAGCCGCGCCGCCGCTTCGCCCGTTTCGAAGCTCCTTCCCGCGGACTGCACCGTGCGGTTCCCCGCGTTCAGCGAGCACTCCACCGTGTACTGCGTCGAGGGCTCCAGGCCGCCAAGCAGAACGCGCGCCTCGCCCGCGTGCCGCACAGGACGGTCCACGAAGGCGGGGCGGATCGACGGCGCGTGGTACGAGCACAGCAGCGTCCCCGGCGCCGTCAGATTCACACGCACCAACGCCGACTCCCCGAACGCGCGCACCGACTTCACCTCCACCCACGGATCTACCCTCAACCGCACTCACCGACACTACCCTCCGCGCGGAACACCACGGGCTGCGACCACGCGCTCAGACCCCCAGCCGTCATCACGTTGACCTCCGCACGCACGCCATCCACCGCAGGGAGCCCGCGGAAATGCGCGTGCGGCTTGTAAGACACCTTCTCGAACAGCACGCGCCCAAGCAGGTCGCTCACGCGCACGTTGAACTTGAGAACGGGCTTGCCCGTCGCTTGGAGGTAGCGCCAACGCATCGACAGAGAGGATCCGTCCACACGGAGGTGGATGTGCTCAGGAGGATCGGGAATGGCTGCCAGATGAAGGCAAAAGGAAACCATTACTCGACTGCTTCAGAGTGACCGGCACGCTCAAGCGAGAGTACGTTTCCTGAACGCCTTTCCCGTTCCCGAAACGCCAAGCGAAGGAATACGTCTTGCCCACAGAGAGACCGCTGATTTTCAGAGGAAGTTTGTACTGCAAATCACACAAACCAAAATCGAACCAACAGCAAACTCCAACTCACGGGAAGAACCGCCTTCCTCCAACACCTCCACGATCACTTTCGATAATTCGTGACCGTTCCCATAGTGATGCATGTGACGGCGACCCAGAGTCACGGAACTCTCGTCGTAAGAAAGAACACGAGGAGCCGGAGCAAGGATGGGCGCTCCCGACGGAGTCACTTTCACCTCCGTAGAAAAAGCAGACTGCACATTATTTACAGTCGCAGCTACACGGATCGCGTACTCCTCACCCGCAAGCAGACCGTCAATAAACGCATAATCACTACTCACCGTCAGCTTGTTCCACATCGTCGGAGCAGGCTGAATATCGAGCGTGTACGAAGAAGCACCTTCCACTCCAACCCAAGAGATGCTAATCGAAGAACCCGATACCAGGTTCACTTTTACATCACGGGGTACTTCAACTAACCCTTAAAAAGCAAATCGAGACACTTACCCGAAACAGCTACGACGAATACACATAAAGCGACGAAAAACTAAATCTAACACCATGAAATTAAAATAACATTCATTTTCATTGTTTCGATTTGATTTCTTGTTGGAAAAGTCAAATCGAACACGCCCCAAATCAGAACCATAACCGCGGATCAGGCTTTAACTCATTTCATCCTTTCACTGATGATATAGATAAATCTAGGTTGCTGTACAGAATGTAGTAAACACCATCCACAAATACTCACACAAAGAATCAACTTGAAAACCACTCTTCTATTCTTACTCACACATATGTACTTTGAGAACAATTTCATGCTTATTCAAACTCTACTTTTTCATTTTTTCTGTTACCATGTCTGAAGTCGATTTTTCGTCTCTGCCTATATCGAAAATGCGCAGTACTTTAAAGTCCCTTGGATTATCGGGAGCAGGAACGAAGGCGAGCCTGGTTGAGCGTTACCAAGCGTATCAAAATGGCGAGATTGTAGCAGATCAGACGGAAAAGGAAGGAGAAATTGAATATGCCGATGGTGATCAAGAGCAAAGTGAAATCCCTCAAGCTGAAGTGGATGCAACTATGGAAAGTAAAAATGGATTTAGGAGGATGATTATTTTAGATCAAGATGATAAAATCGCTGGTGGAAGTCTTTCTGATGAAAACAAGGTTGGGGAGCTTCTATTGAATGAAGAAGTTCATCCAGAAGACGCTGTGGTAGATTCCGTTCCACAGGAAAATGATACGACTCAAACCGAGGTAGTGGATGGACTTTCGTCTCCAGTTCGGTCAGCAGCAGAGAGTGGATATAATGAAATGCAATCTATCGAAAACACAGAGGCTACATGCACTTCTGCGGTTGGTGGTGAAGGTCCTGAAGCGATCGAAGGTGGTAAAGCTCCAATCAATGGTTCTGAAGTTTCCCCAGATAGGGCTGAGTCATTGGACATCGAGGCCGAGCTGGACAAGCGAGAGGCTCGCAGCAAGAAATTCGGGACTTCTTTCGATCGTGAATCGTGTCGCCAGCAACTGCTTCGAGTTTATTCCACTGCACAAGTTGGATCTACCCACAATAGTGATAATAATGACAATAACAATAACGTTGGATTACTCCACAAAATTGACACGTAGCGTGCGAAACTACTTTCAGAACGTCGAGCCAAGTTCGGAATAGTGGAAAGCAATCAATCACTGGGTCGAAGACAAGGCCGTTCTGGACAGGGAATGAACTCTGTCTCAGAAGAACTGCGTGCTGAGCGACAGAAAAAGTTCGGAATGGTGGAGAAGTCCTTCCCTGTGCGTCAACGCGGAGAGAAGCGATATCAATCCAGATATAGAAACCAAAAGAATCGCCGATACATGTAAAGTGCATTGTTTTTTACATACCATTCTATCATCAAACACACAAGCAATTAAGGCCATGGAATGATTCATTGATAGGAAAATAGTTCTTTTGCAAAAAATAAGCGTTGCTATTTGTTCAGTAGTCGTCCCAATTTATATAGATTTTTTGGTTCAATCTATTCTATTACTCAATCTATCGATATAATCTACAATCTACAATCTACAATCTACAATCTACAATCTACAGGTTTCATCGTATTCATGGGAATGATTGTCCATCAATTACGAACCCTCATAACACCCTTCATTTGAAACTTATGAGTATATTTTAATTACATTAGAAATGTTTCGTGATTAGCGAGCAATGAGTTATTGGAGTGTAATAATGCTCCAGAATCTTTAGGTCAGTAATCTATATAGTTTGGCTTGGTTATTCCTGTTCAAATTTGTTTCAATGTGATAGAAAAGCTTGGTTCTATTGATCGAGAAGCCTGTGGAATCGGAATGAATCTGTAAGGAAGGATTTTTACAGTATCACTACTAATGCTACTACTCTGGCCAATTCTACTGCTTCTCAACAGGGATTTAAACAACACTATAACTTGAGTCACAGTGTGTATATGAATGATAGAAGCCATAGTTACTTAGAATTAGGATTTTACAACAGGCAATACAAAGGATCAGGGATTTCATCATTCATTCATTCATACATGCATTCTATTGGAATAAATGGAATTAGAATGACAATTGATTCAAAGACCGATATTATTCGTATTATTATAACTTTGTGTTAGTATAAAGTCCAGAATAGATTGAATTGAAGAACTAAACCTACCCATCTTGATCAGAAAGCTTGTTGAACATAATAGACTTTACTATCCTCATTATAAATTAAGGATTCTACAAGTAAACATCATGAATGGATGAATAGTCACAAATACGAAAGCCATAACACTGTAAGTAATGGAGGCAAATATCTCCGTTGATGGCTATTATACTCTTGTTGAATCTGTAATTAGTAATAGTAATATTACTATTATTTTTACTATTGTCATTTGTAAAATCATCACTTGCATTACAATAAAGGCCGATATATAAAACAAAAGTACAATAACAAAGAATAGGTTGGGTTTTGTATATTTCATAATTAAAATAAACACGATAACCTTTGATAGAATAAACAGGGCAACTCCAATCCAAGATTTCACTCGATTTCAAAACGGATTTGCTTGAAATGACGAGTCATGTTAAAAACGGACGAAACGAAGCTTTAATCAGATTGTAAACCATGTTAATGGAAAGCGGAAGAAATCGATTCTCATATTGTTGGAAAGTTGCATTACCTGGGAGAATTCAATGAAAAGCGAGAATGAGGAGAATAGTAATTCAATAATAAGAAAAAACGGATAGAACGCTGATCAAAGGAATCTGGTAGAACCACATACTTGAGGACAACATTCACAATTGAAGGAACCATTATGATTGAGTTGATAAGAAATGGAGACAAATTCATAGTTTCGAATTGAATTCCTATCTATGGCGGAGAATTCGTGTATGATGAATCGAACGAATCGTTTCTTCGAAATGGTCGAGGATATAGGATCGATGAAGAAACTCGGATTGCTACTCGCGAAGTGGAATGGAAAGATGGAGTGGAAGTGAGTGGAAGAGATCTCTATGATGGATGGCATATTCATTCACTCATTGACTCACTCAATATTACTTGTTTATTTAATACTATTGCTATGTTAATCACATTGCATTTCACATTGTTTTGTTGATCAAATAGAAAGCAAGGTTTTCATTCATAGGATTCATGGATTCCATCCATTATCATATTATTCAATCGATTGTTTTGTTTAATGATACTATGATTCCTATTCACCATTTCAATCTATGAACCACATTCCTTTCTCTGCAATATCATTCTTTGTACTCAATATGGATGATCATTGTGACAGAAGAGAATCGAAGTATCAACAGAGAATCAATACAATAATCCACTTGTCTAATAGAAATGATGGATTTTGCATTCTACATACTACTGCCATACTCTCTATTACGAATCTAACCATTCCAACAGTATTCACTATTGTGAGTTCGATTGTTGCAAAACAAGATTAACAACCACATAATTGATATATTTTGAAGAGCATATATCCATAATAGACTTAATAGAACAGCCATTCTGACATGAGAGAGTAAAGGTGATCAAAATGCGTAATAATTTACAATTATAGCTATAAGTATTGGAAAATAACACAAGAATAAATGAATAGATAGAAATGCACCGAAATAATGAAAAATAGAAATGGGTGGAGAAAATGTAATTTTATCCTATGTATTCTAGTTTGTAACACACCAGCATATCAAAGACATACTAAATAATCCATGACGTGTGTTCTATCGAGAAATAATGAACCAGATCTTGTTTCCAAAAAGCCGTTTTACCATATTTCTTTTCATTTCCATGCAAAACATTACTGATTTTGTCAATTCTGTTATTAATAACTATCATACTGATAGTTCCATTATTCAAAATGCGCAAGGATTCTTGGGTAAAGAATGGAAACCAAATGGCTGGATTTCACTCATATTGAGTAATAGAGAATGTATAGTATTACAATTCAATAATGGAGTATTCATGAATCAAGGATTTGTGGTCAATGAGCAGAAAGTGTTGAAAGTGTTTGGAAATCATCAAATTGGTGCTATTTCATATAATAAAAAAGCTGTAACAGAAGGAATCGTGGATTTGGATCATGGAAGTCGATTTGAAGGCTTGGTATTGACAGAAAACAAGTTTGGAATTCCATTTGGATATGGTGAAATGTATGATGATGATGGAATATTGATGTACAAGGGCATAATGATCAATTGGAAACGATTTGGATATGGAACGAGTTATCATAATAATGGATGTATTGAATATGAAGGATATTGGTGTGATGATAAGCGATTTGGAAGAGGAAAAGTGTATGATCGATGTGGTAAATTAGTAAAAGAATGTAACTGGTACGATGGAATTGAATGTGATATTGATGAAAAATATGAAGGAGATGGAAGCAAACCAATGAATATCGGAATCAAACATTTGAAACTGAGTGACAATTGTGTATTGGTTGATTGGAATGTTTCATTGTTGTATAATTTGGAATCAATCGAAATCGGCAATGAATGTTTTGAATCAGTGCAAACATTCAAAATCGATGGATTGAATCGATTGAAAACTATCAAAATCGGAAGCAATTCATTTAATCAGACAAAGAATAGTTGGAGAAATGTTAAATCAAAATCATTCTACATATTGAATTGTGAATCATTGGAATCCATTCAAATTGGTGAATTCAGTTTCAGTGATTTTGGAGGCGACTTTGAATTGAAGAATCTACCACAATTACAATCCATTCAAATCGGGACAATTGAAAGTAGGTCAGACAATTTCTTGTATAGTTCATTTGTGATTCGAGGTATTGATATGATATTGAATATTTGAATGATGCATAGATCTTCCAAATTTACAATCCATTACATTAGGTTATCGCGCATTCTTTTATTCCTTATCGACAATAATTGAAAGTATTGAATGAATTCGAATGAAATGATTGATGTAGATCTTCCATCATTACATTCCATTCAACTCGGTTATCTGGCACTTCGTGGAAGATATTGGGATGATTCAGCTTCATTGATAATGCGAAGTAATAATGAATTGATTGGTTATGATTTGCTTTGTAGATCTTCCAAGTCTAACATCAATTACTTCTGAAGGATATAGTTTTTATAAACCTCGTGTAGTGATAT